GAAATAGCTCCTGGTGGGGAATGGCAGGCAGAATGTACGTTCTAAGGACAGGGGAAGCATGAGGAGCCTCCAATTGCCTGGACTCAGCTTGTGGGGCAACCAGCAGTCACAGCCTCTCCATGACCTCCTCCAACAACTTCCCCCAGAATTGCCACCTGCTTCCGGCAAACAACAACAACAGTAATGTTAACGCTTCACAGCATTTACATGTGAAGCCATGTTCCCTATACAGAATCAATTAATTCTTACAACAGTCCTAAGAGGGAGGTACTATTACCCTTTCCATTTCACTGATAAGGGAACAGGAGTCACAAATAAGGTAAGTAATTCACCAAATGCTCTCAAGCCAGAGCTAAGCAGGAATTCAAACCCTGTGACAATGACAATAGGGTTGGGCTCCAGGGTGTTTGCTCTTAGCCACCATGCAAGCTGTTTGAGCACTGGCTCATCCACTGGGGGTAGGAGCATAGCCCTCAGTAAGGAAAAGCCCCCTGGTCCTACCACACTCTGCCTCACCATCCTCTCCCACACCAGACCCCACTGCACAATTCAACCTGCTCAGAGTAAGATGTGGTGGCCCCAGGCTCCAAGCTAAGTGAATAAATAAGCCTCATGTGTAAGTGTCTCTGCTGATTAAACCTGCCCCCCAGCCACCCCATCCTCTGGCATCACCCCTTGCTCAGTATCTGAGATCCACAGACAATGGGAGAAAAATAAACGGGGCACATGTTCCTGAAACTCCAAATGCCATCTGAGATGGCCTTCAAGTTAAGGCACTGTGGTCTTTTAACAGGCAAATTTTTACCTGCTCATGATCAGTGTGCAAATTTCACATGCCTTACTTCACAGAGGACACCTCTTCTATGCTTCCCTCATCTTGTGTATGCAATTTACATACTAAAAAAAAATTGGGTGAAAGATACATTCTCCCCAAGGTGCGCCTAATACCGGCATTTTATCAACCAGTCTGCCCTTCTGGTTGGTCTCCACAGTGGGGCTCTGCTGCCCCCTGGTGGCAGAGCCTCATTCTCTGGCTCTCATTGACCGGACAACCTAAGAACCATGAATTTCAGTATTACCATTTCATGTTACATTTATTCATTCACTCACACACTCATTCAGAGCAAACATTGCTTATAAGTTCTCCCAGTTGGCTTTCTTCCCCCTTCTAGCAACCTCTTCCTTCGTGGCCTCCCTGAAGGAATTCTTTCACTCCTGGCATAGCTCCCTAGCTAACTTTAAGACCCATTTTTCTCAAAGGGGGGTCAGTGCCCCATAAGACTTTCTGTAACTGCAGAAACCTCGTGGCTGCCTTTATTTGCACAGCAGCTTACTAAACATTTTGCCTTTTCTAGACTGACTTTCCTATGAATCTTCCCAGACCACAGAAAAAGGTTCCAATTTGCCTTCTGCGTTCTCTGCTTTTAGCAAGTGCTCCCATTTTGAAAGGAGTGAAAAAGAGAGGGGTAAGACAGAGATGCAACCAAAGTCTCCATACCTGAGTCCCTACAGGAAGAAACCTGGTCATCCCCAGCCTCCAGCCCCCAAATCTGCCAAAGAACTCAGGACAGTAGTTCTCAACCTCTAGCAGGCAGCAGAATCACCTGGAAGGCCTATTAAATCACACTGCTGGGCCCCACCCCAAAGTGTCTGAAACAGATCTGAGGTGGGGCCCAAGAATTTTCGTTTCTAACAAGTTCCCAGATGATCCTTCTGTTGCTGGTCCAAAGACCACACTTTGAGAACCGCTGAGTTAGAAATCAGCTGCCATCACTAACCACCTGTCTTCTACACAATAATCTTAAACATAATTTCCAAACATGAACTTCAAATTACTTCAGGACAGAAGAATGATCCTATGTAACCTAAACTGAGGTATAAGAAACCATATGCGGGAGCAAGATGGCGGAGGAGTAGGAGACCTGGATTTCGTCTGGTCTCAGGAATTCAGCTGAATAGGGATCAAACCATTCTGAACACC